TAGGTATGACACTCCCACCGCACACAGACCCTGCCCTAACACCTGTCTCATTCTCAAACTTAGTCCAGTTCCTCTGCCCCCAGCTGCCTTTTGCAGTCTTCCAAGATCATTTGCTTCTTTACCTACCAAAGGCCATGCAGCACCTGCCCACATACTTACAGAGCCATCACGGAAATCTGAACCACAAAGCAAAAAACGTTTGCTTTGCTTGCCAAAGCTGGCTTATGTTTCCCCCCAAAGGCTAAATAAACAATGGGCAATCTCAAAGTAAAAATAATTTATTTATTATTGTCCAGTTATTTAAGGACCTATTGCTTAATATTTCACCTTTGGGCTCAATATTGAAGGATAATACCTGGTATCTCTGAAGAAACAAAAGGAGTGGGAGAAAAGATGGGGACCAATTAATATATAAAAATAACACATAGCATTTCTTCATCATCCAACCATATTTTTATTTAAGCAATAGCTGTTGAGTGCTTAGCATATGCAAGTATGAAATATTTTTGACACAACACATGGAATAGAGAACCAGAGGTTGTATCTAAATGCAGCTAAGGGTAGGATTTGTGGAGTTTTGAATGACAAAGGATGAACCACCAACCACACAGGGCAGCATATGGAAAGTGGAAGCTGGCATTCATCCCAACAAGGACCACGAACCCTGGGTCCAGAGAAGAAAAAGGGCATTGAGAGATGAGCAGTGAGAGAAGTGCTTATGTCTCAACAAAATCTCAGTTGCCTAAGAGAACAGGAAGGAGGAAACCTTGGCAGAAGAAAGTGTTGTCATGTACAGCACAGTAAGGACAAAGCCAATTATCCAGTTCTTATCTTCTGGAAGACACTCTTCAAACTACACCCAACCTTTCTGCTTAGAAGACTGTGGGTGGGTTCCTTGTTTCCTTGTGCCCTCTTCTCCCAGGACCTTATCTGTAGCTTTCCCAGGTCCCAGAGACTTTGAATGTAGAACAGGCCCAAGAATAAGCTCTCAAGAGTGTGTTGTGATATAAGTCTGATCATACTTTTTGGCCCATAGTTGGATTATCCTGGGTATCTAATAGTTAGTTCAGTAATCCAGTAGCCATGCTTGTGACAGACCAGGACCAGCTCTGCACCAGCCACCAGCATGTGGTCTCCATGTTTTCATTTTTGATAGCTCTGTGCTCATCACCCACCATGCCAACTTGCTCCTCTCAGCCCTTCACATACCAAAGGAAACAGCCTGGGTGAGTCAGACTTAGTGGCAAATAATATCTAAGGCATTGTTCATACTCAAATTCGTGGTGATTACAAGTCCACAGTGTATCATTATAAGTTCATAAACTTATTGTACGATAATGCTGTATATGTGCACCTTGATGGTGTCAAATTTATCCTTTTAATTCCTGTATTTCAGTTTTCTTTATACACCAACAAGAAAGTGGTTTGTTTGGGTTTGAGATTTGTTTTTCTTTTTTGGGAAATGAGGGGAGGGTGTCATTGTAGTTGTTGATTCTGTAAACCTTCTGGGCATTAGTTCACTCATCTTAAAATACAAACACCTACTCATACTTGCCTACTTCTCAGACCTGACATGAGAATTAACATAATCCAAGGTTAAGCGCTTTAATAAACATCAGTATTTAAAAATCACTTACAGATGTTAGCCTGTGGCTTACTAAAAAGTAGGACCTCATTATGGCCTGCAGAACATAAGCCACAATCTCCTGAATCCTAAAGGTCTGTGACCTACACACTGTAGCATGATACAGCAAGGCCATGAAAATTAGAAACTACCAGAGGTTAACATGGGTCCAGAATCCCATACTGAGTGAAGTTATCCTTTTCCCTATCTAGTTTCTGTGATTCTAAAAAGTCTATGAGTTTGTCCCTAACAGGGAAAAAAATGGCAGATTGATTTTCCCTCTGCTCAAAGATTCCAGGTTGTGGATATGTTGGGTTTTGTGAAGTTCCCCCAAATGCCTCTCCCCATGGAATTCTCCTTTCACTTCAAACACAGTGAGTCCCCTGCTAAGGAAGGCCCTGGGATATCTCTGGCTTCCTTCTTCAAAATGCATAAATCACATCATGCCTATTTAAAGGCTTGTTTTCAGGTCCTACTCGTTCTTTAAAAAGTGGAGAGAGATTTCTCTTCTCTTTAGGGGAGTTCATTTTAAATTTAATCTTGGACTAAGTCTGTAATATGTCTGTGATCCTTTTGACTGCATAAACAATACAATAATCTTTTCATGCACAGATTTTTCAAACTCTTGAAATATTCATCTTAAATAACTACTAATTTTGTTCACTTGGGTATTTTATTTTTACTTTGGCATTGGAACCACACTCACTGTGTGTCATTTCTATACAAAACTTATAAATTCCAAGTCCGAGAAGAAAAAGCAGTAAACAGGAATACTTGTATTCATCATTTCTTTATTCCATTCACAGACTAACAGGCTTGTGGTAGATTATGGAAAAAGGAGATACCTCCCCCAATTACCTGGGTGCCTTTATCATCTCAGGAGCCCAGCATAAAGCAAACCTGAAAACAAAATGTCAATGCAGGAGATTTATTACCCCTGAAATTCTCAAAATAAGAAAACTGCTTTTTGTTTCCTTGACTGCCATCTAGTGGTTAATGATATAGTGCCAGTAAAATGCATTACTACATCTGTGAAGATGGACTCTTTAAAGCAAAAGTAAAAATATAACTACATTTTTATTATTAGTAAATAATATTTTATTATTAATACTTTAATTTATTTAATTAAATAAATTAAAATATTATTGCAGATATGAGGCTTTTCTAATAATTCATAGTTAGTTCCAAAGTATCATTCTCTTTCTTGTTTCTTGGTCTACTTCATGCCTATTCTATTTCATTCTATTTCATGTACTAATACTGTGCACTAGGACTAGGACTATAAGGATGAATAAAATAATGTACCTGGATTCCAGGGAGGAGACATGAAATTGAGGAATGAGAAACATGATGAACGCTTTTAAAAAAGAATAGATGAGTCATCGGGGACACCAAGAAGAAAGAAAATCTGTATTATCGGCCAGTAGAGTTTGAGTCAACATTGAGTGATGAGTGAGAATTCTCCAAACAAGAGGGAAAAAGCATAAAGAAAAGTTGGGAGGTCATGTGTCAGAAAACATTGAGAGTCTAGTTCAGGAAGACAAGACAGGGCCTCGTCGGTCAGGAAGGGCCTGTGAGACTGCACTAGGTAACTGCAGTAGCCCTCTATTATCCACGGCTTCACTTCAGGTCAGGTACCCTTGGTCAAGCATGATCTGAAATATTAAAGGGAAAACTCTAAAAATAAACAATTCATAAGTTTTAAATTGTGTGCCATTGTGAATCTGGTTACCTCAAGTACTGATAATTAAAAAAAAAAAAAAAAAAAACTGGTACTTCCAAAATTTTATTTCAAAGAAATACTTGAAGCCTCATTGTGGGTGGCAGGCTTGCAGTGTGGAAAAGTAAATGCACCCACTGATGCATTTACCCAGCTGTGGGGGTAACCCTAAAGCAGATCCAGCCACAGAATGGGGACTAAAAGACAAAGTTGAAAGGCTTTCCACAGAGACCAAGAATCTCAGCCAACTGGAACCTCGATCAGTGATAAATCTTTGAATACCTGCCTCATGGGAGCTTGTGTGCAGTGACTAAAACCAACACTGACTGTACTGTTTTAGATTTATCTTTGCAATGTTTCTCTTTGTGAACATTTTACATGGGATCCCTAATGCCTAGTGACCATTATGTAACAGTCAAAACAGCAGTTCAGTAGCATCCCTATCTTTTCAAATTAAGATTGAATTCTAAGTCTAAAGGACTTTAGTCTTAGATTCTAAAAAATGGAAGGCTTAGGAGGTACAAAGATATATAGTAGAAATATGAGTATAAAAACATGTACATAAACCTCTTTTTTATTTGTTTGTTTATCTCTCAGCTTTGCAGGTAAACACATAACACATACACACACAGCTGGATTGGTAGGCAAATCTCTCCCAATCAAAGCTCAGTTATCTACATCGGACTACAGATAAATGAAAAGTCACTATTAATTATATTTGACATCAAAGTTAACAAGAAAAATCTAGCAGACATTCATTCTTCCTCATTCTACATCACTATGAAGAATGAGAAGAAGGGACAATGGTTCCCACAGAAAAGTTGTGGTTACAAAGGTGGGTCATGGTACGAGACTGCACAAGTTCAAATCCTGGCTCTCTGCTGTTTACGATCACAGACCTCAGGCAATCTGCCGGACTTCGCTATGCCTCAATTTTCTGAACCATAAAATGCAGATACTTCCTCCTTAGGGTCTTTGAGAAGAGTAAATGAGTTATTACAAAGAATGTGCTTAGAAGGACTGCAGATAGGGCTCAATAATTCTGAGATATTATTAATGTATCCAGAAGTCTCCAAATACTTTGCGAAGTTGTCCCACTGCCTTAAAATGCTGACAGCTCTGAAGTTGGGGGATGCCAAAAGTAAAAGTCCGAACACATAGGAAGTGAGACAGCTACCAGCAATGCTGCCACTCCATTGCTGCAAACTCAGCTAAATGCTAACATGCTCGTTTCTGAAAGACTAGTGTTAGTTCATTTTACCTCTCATGGTTCCTGTTAACCTGGCAGGGAAGCTTATGCCTAAGAGATATTTAATGCAGAATTTCAGTCTCTGCTAAGGCAGTAAAGGAGAGCCTTTTAAGAATCTATGAAGCTATGTGCCTCCAGTGGAGGTTTATTCTGCCTATTACAGAAACCCAACTAGTCAGCTTATGAGAGTTCAATTTTACTAAAGATTGGACCCCTCTACCCTCTCAAGTGTTTTCTGATTCCAACTTTGCTCTCTGAAAGTTCAGTTCTCAGCCTAAGACTAAAAAATCTGGCATCTCCCCCAAAAAGATAATAGGGGAGGAAGAAAAACCCTTTCATGACTCAGGGTTTGTTTTTTTGTGATTTTTTTGTTTTTTTGTTTTGTTTTGTTTTTATTTTATTTAAAGACATGCAAAGCCTAGAGAAGCTCCTGAGAGATGCTGTAATCTACGGCCAGCCTCGAACCCACAGAGCTTGGAAAAAGATTCTCATCCTGGTGGAGGGCGTCTACAGGTATGTAAATAACTGGAGACATTTGAACACTCTGAAGCCCACAGCAGACTGACAAATGGGAAAAGGCTGACCTCTCCTAGCTAAAGAGAAAAATGGGTTAAATACAGATATTATGGAGGGATCTGAGCTAGAGCTATTCATGTGAGCTGTCAGGCCTTGGGTTACCTGTCTTTTTAATGACTATACATACACTGGAGCACCTTGGAGGCTGGCATGCTTGTGAAAGCTTCTTCAGAAATATCCCCACAGGACATTACTCACATGTATTGATTCCTTCCACTACCTGTGGCTGCTTCACAGTTTCAAAGGCCTTAAGGGGCTGGGTGATTCAACATCAGAATGCTCCTTGCCTTTAAAACTTTAGTAGACGTTGCTCATGGGAACCTGGATGTGTCTAACTGGATACTGCATCCAACCTCCAGTTGCTTGCTGAACCTGGCCGGTGGTTGGTAGTTGGCATCAAAATACAAAGGCCTGCTCATTTTCCTCAACTTGGAGTGCAATTCTCCATACAGAACTGGGGGAGGGTGGAGGAAGGAATGATCTTAGCCTCTGAAAGAATGCTCTGAGTTTTCCTACCCTTATTGAGCTGAGCAGACAAAACACCCATTAAAGCCATTCAGAGCTATACTTTTATATTGAAGCTTATGGTGAAGTTAACCTCATTCCCTGTCTGAACTGATTATTTTTACTGAAAAGGAAATGTCCTCCAAGCTCTCCTTCTGTTAAATACCCTAGTCCTAGAGTCAAGAAACATTATCTCAGAGTTCCTCTGAAATCAGTTCTCAAGCAATCCTAATATTAGAGGAATTCAGGAAGATGTTTCCTATGAGATAATTAGAGAAAAGTGAAAAATATGAAAAGAAGGGAATGAGGGCTTACCTTCCCAACAAAAAGGAATGTGTCCACAGAGGAGACTTGAGAACAGAAGTAGCATTTCTTTCAGCCAACTAATCTAATTGATCTTGGAGTGCACACTGTTTCTCTTAATTAAATAATAAGCAGCAGACAAGATGTGTCTATCCATTTTGGGAAAAAAAGAACTGCTTTCTCCCAAATTTAAAATTATCATATCATCATCACCCTAGTATCATTGTATTTTTTTCTCTAGTACTTACTGCCCCAATGGTTAGTGCTCTGGTGTTCCCTGTGCTCCTATGGGGTTGCAAAGTTGGCATTTCAAGTTTCTCGTAGTTCACCTCTGCATTCCCTATCAGGACCTCCTCAGGTCAGCCTGAGAGTGTGTCCTGTTTATGAAATCTCTAGGATCACCCTAGAGCTGAGTTCTCAACCAGGGTAATTTCTCACCCACAACTCACCCCCATCCCAGGAACATTTGGCAATTTTCAGTTGTCACAGGTGCAGAATAGACTGGCATCTAGTGGCAAAGGCTAGGGATGCTGCTAAACATCTTACAATGCACAGAATAGTCCCTCACAACAAAAAATTATCCCTAGGGCTAAGGTTGAAAAACCCTGCTGCAGAATAATTCAACTATTCACTGGTCCTGAATTTGCTGCTTTTAGGAAATAATTTCATATTGTCTCTGGGCTATCGTTACCATAGCCACAGATATTTCTTCCCATGTGATTTGCAACACCTGCCAGTCTGGGAGGGGAGCCCTTATCTAAACACCTGTTACTTACAGGCCTAGAACAGCAGGAGAATCCATCAGCTGAGGGAGTGCAGACAGGGCATCTCCATTAACCAGAGTAAACAAAATCCAACTGAAAATAAATAGAACTTGACTCCACTAAAGGAAAATTGCATTGTAAGCACTTTGATCATGGCTGAAATTTAGTTGGCCACCAGCATTTTACTCTCAAATATTCCCATCAGTAATAAAAGAAATCACTCTAGCAGCAGGGATTATTAATGGCTACACTGGGCTTATGTCCTACCGCAATCTCAGGAGGACAGGGGAGCTGGGTATGGACTCCTGGCTCTAGTCCAGCATGGCACCAAACCACAATTTAGGCTTCACTGATAATAATGACTGTTCTGTTATCTATTGCTGCATAATACAAGGGGGAACTACCCACTAATGGAACTATTTTCTGGAGGGTGCGCCCTTTATAGTATGGGCTCCTTCACAAGATGAGTGTTCGAGGAGCCCAGAGCCTGTGTTCAGCTTCAGTGACTTCTGTTTTGAAAACTTTGGCAATGCATTTGTCCATTTCATGATTGGTGATTTATGAGTGCACCTGCCCACACCACGCTGAGTATTCAGCAGTTTTTGACCAAAATGACATGAACCTTCTGCCTCACCCTCCCTATTCACCCAATCTCACCCCAAGCAACTTTTTATTGTTTCCCTGGATGAAACAATCCTCAAAAGGAAACGTTTTGCCAATTTGGAAGAGGTGAAACAAAAAATGGCAGAAGTACTATAAGGCATCAAAATCGATGAGTTCAAACTGTTTTGAGCAGTGGAAAAATGTCTCAATAGATGTATTGCATCAAATGGAGAGTACTCTGAAGGTGACCAAAGTTTAAATATGTAAGAATAAACACAGTTTTTATAAATAAATTCCAGTGTTTTGGAGTCCTGTCCCCACTCGTAGACCACCATACAACATAATGGCGTACACAGCAGCAATGAGTTGTTATTTCCCATGTTACTGCAGGCTGTCTGGACCACCTGGCAGTTCTCCTTTTGCTCCACTTGGTGTTGGTTTGGGGTCATTTATGGTGTTGTATTATTCTGGGAGTTCAGTAGAGACTAGAATATCCAAAATGACATACCGCACTCACACATTTGGGCTCTTGGCCCTGACTGTTGACTGAAGTGCCTGGTTCTCTCCTCTTCACTAAGGTGCTTTCTCTATATGTAGACTTATCCCATTCAGCCAGAGCTTCCCTACAGCATGGCAGCTGATTCCAAGAGAATGAAAGCAGAAGTTGGCAGCCTGTCAAGGACCAGGCCCAGAAGTGGTACAGTACCATTTCTGCCACACTCTAGGGGCCAAAGCACATTACAAGGCCAACCCAGATTCAAAAGGAGGGGAAATAGAGCCCACCTCCTGATAGGAAAACTGGCTTATGTGTACAGGAATGGGAAGACTTGCAGGCAGCCATCTTTGGTGGTGATCTACACCAATGGCTCAATTAACCTGGCACGTATACAGAGTAAAGTGTTCACTTTCCATGACGTGCCATCACAGAGAGATCCCCTTCATCTCACCTGCACAGGAATCTTGTCTTTAAATGAGACTGGCTAAAAGGCTTCATTCATAGATAGCAGACAGAGCACTTAGAGAGTCCTCAGTACTTCCTGGGGCTTCAGTCTCCCTATCTGTAAAATAAGGCTAGCCTAGAATAGAGTTTTGGAACATGGATGTTCTCATTTGATGCTGTCACCAGAAAATGAAATTATTTCCCACAAGATTTTCTAAAGTGCCAGGGTTAGAAATGTAAAATCAAGAGCTTAATGCATTTCTACTTTTTAGAGATGTAATATGGACACATACCTTATGGATATCTACACAAAGCCTCCATTGAACTTTCACTCCCAGGTTTTTTAAGTCTCTTGCTTGTGGTTTCCCACCATGGGCAGAGAGCTAGCATAAATCAATGTTTTCATAATTCCAAAAGAGAAAGTCAACCAAATTAGAAAGTTCCAGGCAGGTATCAACGTAGAAAAGGTTAAATACCAAGGCTAAGAAGTCAGTAAGTGCCATACAAGCAGTTAGATGATAATAATAATAGCAGCAAAAATAATAGTAATATCATTGTCCATAAAACATGCATGTATTATTCTTTACATATAGACTATAGAAGAGTCAGGATTTGGAGTGAGGCCTGGAATCTGGATTTAAATCTTGCTGTTGCTACCTACAGCTGAATGCCCTTTGTAACATTCTTTTATAAGTAAATGAAGTCATATAAGCCAGTGCTTGCCTAAGCCCAGCCTATAGTAAGCCTGCAACCAAGGGTAGTTGCTTTCATCATTAAATTTATTTTCAGTTGAGGAAGTTGCAACTTGGAAAATAAACCATCCATGTAGCCAAGTGGCTTCATTTGCTCTTCACCCACTCAAGGAGGAAGAAAGAAATCACATTGATTTTCTTGCTAAACATTTCACATGTGCCATGTTGAGTAAGCCTCCCCAGGTCTCTCGAGGTTATTGTGAGATGAAGTCTTGGAGGATGTGAGACCTGGATTAGCTTGTCCCAGAGCAGATGACTGAGATGAAACAGAGCTGGGATTCAAATCAGGTGGCCCTGTTGAGACAAAGGCCCAATATAAACAGGAGAGTCAGCTAATGTGTCCATATCTAATGAAGTAAACATGGAAACTGTGCGGTTATTCATTTGACTCTCAGAATTAGCCTAACTAGGGCTTAGTTTCTTTATCTGTAATATAGGAAGATTGAAACTTGAAGCCTAAAGTTCCATAACTCCATGATTTTTGGTTTAAAAGTACAATAGCAATATTTTAGTATTCTGATTTGTATTTTCCCTTAAACATCGCTTTAAAATCATACTCTTCTAATTTTATGTCTCTGGGGAGTCTAGTTTTTGACTCATTGTGGTTGAGAAATCTCAAAATTATTCAAAAATATACTAAAGAAGGAGATAGGGGATCCAAGTAACCTGAGATAAAACTAGCATAGCTGGAGCACAAACTTTTTTTAAAAATTCTTCTCTATCTCTTATTCATTTATTTATCTATCTATTTATTTACTTATTTATAGAGAGAGGGGAAGGGAGGGAGAAAGAGGGAGAGGAACATCAATGTGCAGTTGCCTCTCACACTCCCCCACACGCCTCAACTGGGGACCTGGCCTGCAACCTAGGCATGTGCCCTGACTAGGAATCAAACCAGCAACCCTTTAGTTCACAGGCTCAATCCAGCCAGGGCTGGAGCACAAACTCTCAAAATAAAATTAACCGAGGAATAACATCCAGCCCTTCAAAAAGTAAAATATATATATAGGCAAATTCTGAAGTCTCTGAATGCCATTTTCTATAAGAATATAAGACATTCTCCTCCTCAAAATAATGTAAGTCTAAGCATTGAAAACTTCAGTGGTAATCTCTAACCTATACCTCTATCATTTAAACAAATAAAGACAAAGAATAAGAAAACACTAGTCACTCTTTTATTAATTAGTCTTAGCTCTTTTTGTTCTCTCTTTCTACCTTCTTTTCTTCCCTTGTGTTATACTTTGGGCCCACCAGGGAGATTTTTCCACCATGTAAGTTGACAAGCCACTGGTTTAATTCCCAATCCTGCCAGCAGATAATATAGTTTATATGTGGAGGAGAAGGTGGTGAGAAGGAGATTTCAATAAGGAGTCTTGTCACTTAGCTAATACATTATGTAATAGAAAAGATACAAAGAAATTATTCACTGGCTTGCTGGTTTAAGAATAATTCAAATTCCTGCACAGGGCTTCAAATTAACTAGTGGAATTATCTTCACTTACAGTTGTATTTTAATTGATTTTCTTCTATTGAAGTCAAAAGAAAACACAACTTTCCATTCCAGAAGAAAGAATAAAACACTCTCCTTGTTTTCTGTATTGTTTTTGACAGATATTAATAGGAAGGGCATAGATAGTTTTTATGTATGCACCAAACTCAACATCCCACTATAGGGGAAGCTTCAATTCTTAAGAAAATGGGTCACAATAAGAAAATGAAGACTTAGTGCAAGTGAATATAACTCTTTATAAATGCTGAGTTCTCCCTAGGCTCATGTGTGCCCTGCATTAACTCCAGAAATCAGCAGTATTGTAGAGTCATTAATCTTACAGGGAGAAATATAAACCAGGTGGGCAGACTCCTAACATCAGCTAAACCAGCCCCAGCGAAGGATGGCTAATTAGCTGCCCTGAGTGTCTGCAAATTGTTCGACATTAACTCTGGCTCCTGCCAAATTCAGTTCCAGAACAAAGAATGGTTATTTGTGACATGTCATGTTTTTAGTATATTTGTGTTACCAACTTAAAAACATTTTAAAGACGAGAAGAAAATTCTAGAATTTTGAGGGCATCAAACCATTTATTATGTGCGACACCCATATGCCTCTTTCCCAGAAGATGCAACACAGAGCATTGTCAAGCGCTCCCATTTTCTCAAATTAAGCCTCATTGCAACCATTTTCTCCTAGGACAGCAACACTCCAATGAGTGCTCATTTATGTGTCAGTCACTTTAGCAGCATTATTTCTATTCATTCTTACAAAGACATTATTTAAGGAGGGTCTCGTCATCATGCTTATTTTACATATGAGAAAACTGAGGCACAGAATCATGTAAGCTACCGACATCCTCAATTAGTAAGTGGTATGGCTGCAACCTGAGCTTAGGCAATTAGATGGCGGTACTGCCTTCTCCTCAACAGAAACAACTTTAGCAAGCAATTTACCTAAGAAAACTGGAATTAACTCACAAACTTGAGAAGATGACTCTGTTTGGTCTTCATGTCATTAAAATCTGAAAACGGCCATTCAGAGCAGCCTTGTGTAAAGCACAAATGCAATAAGCTGGACTTCATTAAAATTAAGAGCTTAAACAATAAAAATAATAATAGATAGATAGATAGATAGATAGATAGCTTTAGCTTTGCAAAAGACAATGTCAAGAGAATTAGAAGACAAGCCACAGACAGAAAGAAGATATTTGATAAATGAATATTATCTAAAATATAAAAGAACTCTTAAAATTCAACAATAAAGAAACAAACAACCTGATTAAAGAGTGAGCCAAAGCCCTGGCTGGATAGCTCAGTTTGGTTAGGGTGTTATCCTGATACACCAAGGTTGGAGGTTCAACCCCCAGTCAAGGCACATACAAGAAGCAACCAATGAATGCACAAATAAGTAAAATAACAAACCTCTCTGTCTCTCTTTTTCTCTCATCAATAAATTTTTTAAAATTGGCCCAAATACCTGAATAGATACCTCACCAAAAAAGATATAGAGAGGTCTACAGATGGAAATATGCATATGAAAAAATGCTCCACATCATATGTCATCAGAGAAATGCAAATTAAGACAACAATGAGGTACCACTACACATATATTAGAATGGCCAAAATCTGGACCACTGGCAACAGTAAATGTTGGTGAGGATGTGTCACAACAGGAACTCCCATTCATTGATGGTGGGAATGCAAAACGGTACAGCCACTTTGAGACGTAGTTTGGTAATTTCTTACAAAACTAAGCATATTCATATCTACAATCCAGCAATCATATTTTTTGGTATTTACCTAAAGAAGTGGAAAAGATTTGTCCACACAAAACCCTGCACAAAAATCTTTATAGCATCTTTATTCGTAATTATCAAAACTTGGAACCAACCAAAGTACTTTTCAGTCAGTGAATGGATGAACTGTGGTACATCCAAACAGTGGAATATTATTCAGCACTAAAAATAAATGAGCTGCCAAGCCATGAAAAGACACAGAGAAAAACTAAGTGCAGTTTAGTAAGTGAAAGAAGCTAATCCAGAAAGGCTACATAGCGTATGGTTCCAACTATTAACATTCCAGAAAAAAACAAATCTATGGAGACAATAAAAAGATCAGTGGTTGCCAAGGGTTGGGTGCAAGCAAGGAATAATATGCAGAGCACACTAGATTTTTAGGGCAGTGAAAATAGGCTATGTGATGCATGTCATTGTATATACATTTGTACAACACCAAGAGTAAACCCTAATGTAAATTATGGACTTTGGGTGATGATGTGTCAATGCGGACCCATCAACTGTATCAAATGTACCACTCTGGTGGTGGATGCTGATAATGGTGGCATTTATGCAGATGTGTGAGGCATGGAGCATGTGAGAAATCTCTGTACCTTCCTCTCAATTTTCCTGTGAATTTAAAACTGCTCTAAAAAACAAAGTTCTTTAAATACACATACACATGCTATGCTTGATCATCATACTCCCTCCAAAACAACACCACTGGTCTGGGTAATTGCACAACCAGCTGGGCTGTTTTGATCGAATTGACCTAACACTTAGGTTTATTTTTTTATGTATTAACTAATAAATAAACTAATAAGGAAGAAAGGAAACGTTCAACTCTGTTTGCATCAGTTGGCTAGTTCTTGAACTAAACTGACAGGTTGCTTGAACTGTTTGGCAAACTTCTTCGTGGGGTGAGGGTGCAAATCTATGTTCTCATAGAACTCGCCTGTCAGTGCAGTCAGAAGTGTGGGATGTAGACACAGTTTACCAAGTGTTCTGAGAACTGATTGAAGTCAAAAGTTCTTTTAGGTCCATTGAACTCCAGAGTTGCCATGTAAATATAAACTACAATTTTGCTTATTTATTTACTTCATATTTTTCTCATTGCTGGACAACCTTAAGTGTTTTTGTAATTTATAATACCATGAAAAAGTAAGCACTTAGAGCTAAAACAAAACAGTTTTTCTGCAGCAGTCTTTCTGCAACTGTTGTCCCCAACCAGCAATATGGGCATGTCCCAAGAGCAGAAGAGTAGACATGAATATTCTCAGCCCATCCCAGACCTACTAAATTAGAAACTCTGGGGAAGGGGCCCAGCCATCTGTGCTTTAGTGAACCATTCAGAGGAATCTGATGTTCACTGAAGACTGACAACTGTTGCCCTAAAGGAACAGAAAGAGGGGACACCACAAGATGCCTCACATGAACGCTTGACTTCCAATGAGTACAGAGGTCTTTTCACATCTGCAGTTTTGCTTTATGCCATTTCAGTTACCTGTGGTAAACCACAGTCCAAAAATATTAAATTGAAAGTGCCAGAAATAAACAATTCTTAAGTTTTAAATTGCGCATCATTCTGAGTAGCGTGATGAAATTTCTCCATTCCATCCAGGACATGAATTATCCCTTTGTCCTGAGTATCCATGGAATATACTCTCTCCTACCGTTAGTCCGTTAGTAGCCATCTCAGTTGTTAGATCAGATCAGTTATCAGAGAGAGACCACATTCACATAACACTTATTACAGTATATTGTTACAATTGTATTTTATGTTATTATTGTTAATCTATTACTGTGCTAATTTATAAATTAAACTTTGTCACACATATGTATGCATAGGAAAAAACAAGAAGAGTATATATAGGGTTTGGACTATCCTTAGTTTCAGGCATCTACTGGAGGTCTTGGAACATAGCTACAAGAATAATTGGGGATGACTCTATTGAATAACAGATCCTAAGAATTTTCTATTGTGCTTTAATTAATACTGTGTGTCCTAAAATAAAGTTATATTGTGTTTTTTATTCCTTTTTTCAATCTTTGCAGTTTAAGCACTTAGTGTAGGTCAGACAAACTGGCCAAATAGAGAGGGACAGGCTGATAAGGATGGATCACATGGAGCAATTTAATTAAAACTAGCAAAATACCCAAAATCCATAACGGTCAGTCAAGTTAAACTTGTTATCTTTAAAATACATTGATTGACAATTCTGTGAGCCAATTGTTTACTTGGGAATTAGCTATAACAACTCAAAAAACGTAAACCCACTAAATGTAACCTATTCTTTTCATATAAAATACTGCCAGATTAGCCTTATAAGATTGAGAAAGTTGTCTCAGCCAAATAAAATATCCCTTAAGAAGAGAGGAGTGGCACATCCCTATCATCCCTGACTGGTATCAGGGCAGGCTGTCTGCAAAATATTGAAAGGGAAACTAACACAGAGCTTCCCAGGAGAGTACACACTTGTGACAAGCATTTCTCCTTATGCCCTAGCATGGAAGGTTCCATTGTGCACCTGCCCCAGATCGTGGCTCTAAAGAAGAAATACAAGGCTTACCTCTACATAGATGAAGCTCACAGTATTGGGTCTGTGGGACCAACTGGCCGAGGTGTAGTGGAATTCTTTGGAATGGACCCTGCAGATGTTGATGTGCTTATGGGCACATTCACCAAAAGCTTTGGAGCCTCAGGAGGTTACATAGCTGGAAGGAAGGTAAGAGAGGGGCTCCTCATGTCTATTTAAACTTGAACAACCTGGGGACATTCTGAAGGGCTTCTCTGGGTTCCATGAGAACTTCAGTTCAGTTCACCACACCTCAGTTGATCACTGTGGCCTCATGAAAGGGGGTTCACAGCCAAGTAGCCCCCAGAATGTCAAGGAGCTCACTGACAATGCAGAGGAACATGTAATGAGTAATCACATTATAATAAAATTGCAACACTAGCAATGTACACAGGCAAAGAACACAAAGAAGAGGGATGATGAACTCTGTGGGCAGCATGGAAGAAATCTTAGAATGAATGAGAGTTTTGTAGACAAATGATTATATCTCTGTATACCAAACCACAGAAATAATAAGAGGATATTACAAAACTGTAAGCAGTGTGGTTTTTGTGACATGAAAATACAGAGCAACAGTGTGAGCAAAGATCAAAGATTCAAGAGGTGAACTCTGCGCTACAACGTGGGCTTTAAGAGTGTTAATCAAAATAGTAGTAGCAAGATTAGAAACATCCTTTTAAAGGATTTTCTCGCAAAATAATTCTCTCTCATAATTTTTGATAATACATGGCTCAAATCTTGTCTTCCTCTAATATCTACATGCCTTAAAAATTCTGATCTGATGAGATTAGGCTGTTAAGTGAGTGTTACTACAGTCACTCTAGTGCCAGTATCACCAAGGGTGTTGCCAGTATAAACCAATAAATGTTTAAAAGAAATCTAAAAGAGGGAAGCAGAAAAGAAAATGAAATATTCAAAACCTATGTTTGAGGGATAAAGAAGACAGTTGCCTGCTTCACTGTATGACAGTTTTACCTACATCCTGATAGCTATCTCATACAGGCCTACACCTGTCCCAAAGAGAGTGCGTGACAGTGGTATAGGCTCTGCCTAGGCAGGCATAGCAAGCCCAAAACTGGTGCGTGCAGGTGGCATCAACAGCTTACCTAAAATTCCTAGTTCCTTACTTATTGTGATCAGCAGGATCGAGAGTTCAGACTCCTAGTAGGCCAGTTAGACAAACCAGGGTGGATAGCTGAAAACAGTGTGGTCATCAAAATCCTGTTATTTAAAACAACAGATTTCATTGTGGCCACTTGCCCTGCCATGAGGTGCACAAATGCTTCAAATGTTCAGAGTTTTCAGTGGCCTTTACTCTTCAATAAGCACTACTTTTTTCCAAGCTCAAAGCACTGTTTTTCATCCTGTGGGAATTAGCTGGGTAAAGCTAAAAACATAGGGAATGCCCAGGATCCTACAAAATTCAGCTAAATCTGCTGAAAAGTTAAATGTTCCCTTCCTTGAATGAAAAAGCAGTGGGATCAGAGGGTCTCAGATGCAGGATTCCCCTTCTCCAGGCTGCAGTAGTTTGTGAGCTTGTGGTTTTGTGATTACTTTAGCAGCGGTTCTGAGCTACAAAAACTTTAACCAGGCATAACTCTGTTTCCTGGACTAAAGGCACCTGAATAAACTGAAGCACGCAGATCCTTGAAATATTGTCAAATTTGGTAGCTGTCAGATATTTCCCCTTAGAGTTCCTTCATTTGATATCCCTTTAAACAAAGGTTCGTGATTATCCTGAAGTAAGGACTGGCTCAGTTTTCTCTCGTACTCTCCATCCCAAAGTCAGTTCACTATTTTAAAAGTGTACTTGCTCTTGTCTATGTAACTTCTAATCATTTGGGGTAGATACTGAGCAACTGTGAAAATTATTATTTACATTAATCAAGACTCAGAAAATGTATGCAGATCTGTTTATTTTCCTGCTCTTTAAAAATACTCATTTTGTGCATACTTACATACAGAGAACTGCATCATTCCTCCTCTTTCTCCTCCCTTTCCTCCTCTCCTCCTCCCCTTTACCTCCTCTCCTTCATGTTGTCCTGCAGTTTCTAAGTTTACCACTAGATGGCAGAAAGAATCAGGAAGTGTTTGGCAGCGATCCGTTAGCCTGCACAGACTTTCTGCCTTGAAACAGCAAGATGAAAAACCTAGAAAACATAAGGAGATTTCCAAGACATGAAGAGTGAGCAGGAGACAGGAGGTCATTTGAGAAGGTGTCTGTATGTGTCATTCCCTGGAGATTTAAAAATCAGTCAGCTACACACTGGTCTGGAAAGGTATTTTTTGGTCAGACTGTGACAAACCCAGATAAACTGTGGTTTCCTTGCAATCTAATGAGCCTGAGTTAAGGGAATTTCTGTATCTGATTTTCTTATCTTCAATTTTTTAAATTATGTTAATTTTAAGTTATGTATAATTTCAGTTTAAATCATAGTGTTTATTCCCCTGGACTTTGCATAACTTTGTAAAGAATTTTCACTTTGTGCTTGTTTTAAACTGCTTTTTTTAACTGATGGGACATAGGGTTGGACAAATACTTACGCTTTTGCTTGAAAAAATCTTGCTACTTATCTATTTAAATAGAGTACAGTTTTCAGAGTTTCATTATATAAATTTTCTTGGATATTTTTTCAGAATATGTCTCAGTTTGATGGGGACTGCAAAATATCTAGGATTCTAAACCAATGGGTTAAAAGGCAACAAAATTAACCATAAAAAAATGTTAACATGCCCAAACTAGGACTTTACATTTTTCTGAAACCCTAATAATTTAAATTTTATTATGTCCATTGTGTTCTTAGTAAGACTTGGGAGATTTGAAAATATCACTTGGGTCTAAAGAGCTAGAAAAAGATGACTTACTGATTCCTACCTCTCTTTCAAAATGTCAGTATTAGGGTTAGTTGTAGGAGGACTATACATATTCTCCCCAACAGTTACTAGAAGGCTCTAGAAATCGTTGTGGAGTTGGTCAAGGTGAGAACTATATACATTAGCAATCAGATGCATCACATAAGAAAAAAATATTTGGAAACAAGCAAGAGGAGAAACAAATGGTTTGGTGCTAAGATACTGCCACAGAGAGTAGAGATTTCATCTTGGCCTCTGCCTTCCTGTCATGAAATGTCCTACAAATTCACCTCTGCTTACTAGAGTTTACTGCCTTGACCTCAACCTTCTCTCCCCACCTTAAGGAAATTGCTGAAACATCTCTCAGAGGTTGGGAAGATTTTGCTATTTTTGCTTACTGTGAGTTTGGAGTTGTTGTCTGTGAACAACCCAACTTGGAACATTCTGTTCTTTTAAGACTTTTGAGGTAAAATGTCAGGTAATTATCTTCACCTGTCAGAGCTCCATGCTGTGAATGGCATCTTTAAAGAATGCCTGCAATGATAGGGCTAGTTTTCTCATTTTTATTTTTTAACTTTTATTGATCCAGTTGCTGAGGAGATGGGTCAACACTGCAAACCCAGTTTGGGTGTCCACGTTTTTCTCAGGTATTATCCTGAGTTTTCTTGTATGCCTAGCGCTGACCACTGTCTTTCACAGACTCCACAGGCTGACCAGAGATTTACAAATAAATAAAGCAAAGGTAGTTCTCATGATTGATAGATTGCAGGGCTAGAATTCTGGAGGAGGGATGTGGGACAGAGCAGCCGAGTTTGGAGTGAGCATTAACCCCACAAGCCTGTGTGCCAGACGAAGGCAGGCCCCTTGCAGAAGCCAGCTCTGCCCCGCGTGCTCAGCCCTGGCTGTATTTAACAGCCCTTTGAAGTAAATGGGGGTCATGGAATGAACACCAAGATGTTTATTCTAAGAGTCTCCTGCCTGATTTTCTCAGAAAAGCCACCCTTGTCCTTGAACTACAGTCCTATGGGTAGAGAAAATAATCAGGGTTTTGAACGTACAAATGGACATGGAAACTTCGGTGTGAGAAGACCTCTAACCTACCCTGAAGGAAGACACAACCCAGACTCGCCTTGCAAAAGACCAAAGCCAACTCTTAATTCATGGCTCATGGCACCCAATGGGGAAATGCTAAAAGGAAACTTTTTTTAAAAAGCAGAAAACAAGGCTTTCCTTGATGCTCTGCAGAAGTTACTCAAAGAACCCCACTTTTCTAACCACACAAGCAAATTAGCCCATGTCTATACACTCAGACTCTGATAAAAAATAGACTCAGTCTAGAAAAAATAAGATTATGGGCAAGATAGCCTTAATGTTAAAAGGAAGTGATATTGCACTGATGAAGCATTTATTAGAACTAAGAATACATGTGACCTTGGCTTTATGAAATTTCTCTATTTTTGAAGGAAAATTGGGTGGTGAAGACATTGAGAAGAGCCCTTTGGGGATCAAAGGCAGCCTTGTTTTGTTTCCTTGTCTGATCTTTGTCAGCAATGCCCCAAGGCTACTTTTTTCCCCTAAGAAAGCAGCTTAGTTTTCCCCTAAGTACTTCAGGGACTCTCACCACCCTTCCTTAATCCTTATAATGTCTCTGTTCTCCATTAGAATATCAGTATTTAACAGACCACCCTGGATTTTCAGAGACCTGTATAACCCTGTTCCCTACTCTCAAGGAGATTTCAGTCTCTTTGGAGATACAATATTAATAGACATGAAACATTTGATACTGATGCAATTCAGTCTATGGTTTTAGTACCATAAACACTTGAGTATATAAAGAATTCTCCTATCCTCCCCCCAAAAAAGAGAAACAATCCTTGTGGATTAGGAAAAAGTAGAAGTAAAGGTAGTCTTCTCTGTGCTCTCCTGGTCCCCTCTCTTCTGTTCTGAAGAAGTAATAAATGTGGTATTAAGGGTGAGGACTCTTGAGGCAGGCTCTTTGGGTCTATATCCTTGTTATCCAACCACTATTTGGTTGGATAATTTTCTGATCCTTTATGTGACTCAGCAATCCCATCTATAAAATGGAGATAAAAATAGCACCTACCTCACAGAGTTATTGTGAAGGTAAAATGAGTTAACACATAAAGTCCTTAAAGTGGATCCTCAATCAGCCAATGAATTTCAGCTGTAGATCTGTCAATGCCTATATCAGCTATGTCATCTCTTCAGAGTAAAGCAATCTGTCAAGTGTGGGAACTCCTTTCTTTAAAGCCTCTGTTTTCCTTTCTTTTCACTCAATTAAGGATAGAGGAAGTACTGGGCTGAAAATCTTTAGTCTGATGTCTGGGTGCAATGTGTAGTTACATAAACTTGGAGCATTACCCTCTGCAAAATGAGGGAACTGGAATAAAGGGAACCCAAGGAGTTTTTATATTTTGGTCCCCTCCCACCACCCATGCTCCCAGTCCTAAGAATCTCCAAGTTGACAATCCATTGATAACTGCCAACAGCATCAGGTATACAGTGTATATTGTACCAGATACTATTCTAAGCATCATATATGTATTAACCCATTCAATCTTCATGAATCTGAGGTAAATATTGTCATTGTGTCATTTTTCAAAGAAGAAAACTAAGGCACAGAGAGATTTAGTAAGTTGTCCATGGTCACATATCAGTAAGTGACAGAGCCAGGGTTTGAACCCAAACAATCCAGAACCTATGCTGTAACTCCAAGGTCATACCTCCCTTCCAAGAGACAACCCTTCATCACTTTTTCTTGGAAGCCCTCACTCCTCTCTCTGCTCTTAATTGACTCCTTCCTCCATTGTGGGCTGATTAAGATGCCATCTCTATTACTAGTTTTAGCACATGTCCTTGCCTTTCCCCTCCTCTGCACATATCCAAGTCTACCCATCCTTCAAGGCCAGATGACCTCCCTGAAACAGCCCTTTCCTGACTCAGTCCCACAGGAGTCCCTGCCATGTCTCCTAGCTGGCTTACTCAACATCCTGCTGAGAACACCATTTCTCAACAAAGAAAGAAAACCCTTGCTGCTGCCCAAAGGGGACACTGAACATAGAGCTGTTAAGGACAGCTCCACTGAAGCTACTCTGGAAGATGGCTGCCTCTTTCTCTTTGAGCAACACCCTCCCCCCAACCCCCCAAAGTGAACTTCCCAAATGTCATGGGGCCAGTGCCTTAGGTCAAGCCATCATCAGACATACACTCTTCAAATGTGGTGAAAATCCACTAAACAAAAAAGATTCACTGAACAAAAGAATAGACAGAAATTGAATTTTAAATTTAATGTAAGTGGATAATAGCTGCCAAGAACTAGTTTTTTTATTCTTCTTCTCTTCTTGGACTTCCACACCCAGAGCATAGCCCAGAGCAAAAAGGTAGGGGGTTGGGGTAGGGAGAGAAAAGAGAAAGTAAAAAACAAAGGAGGGAATGAGGAAATAGAAATGGAGAAAAAAAAGAAGTGGAGGATTTGAAATTAAAAGGACGGAGGAAATCAGAATAAAAGCAAAGAGGAAGGAAAGAAAGGAACAAAAAGGAATGAAAAAAGAGTGTAAAATGAAGGCAATAGAAAAGAAAGGATTCCAGGGAAGAAGGATGCATGGAAGAGGGGATTTAGAATGAAGGACATATTGAAGAAGGCAAGAAGGACAGAATGGAGCTACTGGTTCCCTCCATGGGCCAGGTGAGGCATCGTGTCACCAACCCTTGGGGAAGCAGGCAACTCTCTTTACTGAAGAAGATGAGCAATGAATGTTTAAAATGCTTATGAGCAACCATACCACCCAGACCCCAAGAGAGATAGAAAAATGGAGGGTGGGGCATAGACCCAGGCTGAGAGGTGGGAATGGATGTGTCCAATGAAGGGAGGGTTAAGAAGAGATGAGTCTGCCCAAAGCACCCATTCCCACCCCACCCCAGTTCACCTACAAGATGGAATAATTGGAGAGGACACCTATGTGGGATTCTAAATTGTCTTGTTGTCCTAGAAGAAAAGGTGGATGATCCTTTAGAGACCCCACTGCTAATATTGAGAGCCATCATCAGCCCATTAGGTTTTCTGCAGAACACCTTGAAGGTCGCAGGTAATGAGCCAGGACAAGAGGGCAGATAGATGGCATTCCTAGCTGGAGCTGAGCACCTCCAGAGGCCAGCTCTGAGGCCCTCCTGACTGTGACATTAGGTTATTGGAGTTTCCTTAGGCTCTCAGCAGGCTTACCTGAGACCTTATGTTTGGCTTCAGGAGTCAAACGTGCATGTGGAGAATCATTCCTCCCACTGAAAACCAGCAGTCTCTAGTGAGTTGGCACTCCAAATAGTGTTACCCAAAATTGCAGTAGTTCCTAGTCGCCCAAAGCATAGCCAGCACTCCCTTCTGCCACTCCATCCCCCCACCCAAGTTTTCTTTTGCTCAATATTTGTCTTTATTCTTCAATACTTAATAAATTTCACTTTGTTTCTGGAACCTTCCCTATCTACCCCAACTAACAAATATCCCCTTTCTTTCCTCAGCAGTCTGTTGCCCTGTTGCACATACTAGTTTGTATGTCTTGTTACTTTTCCTACCATTACTTTTCCATGTGCACAATTTAATGTAATATGCTCAATGGCAAGATCACATCCTGTGTTCTTTGGACATTCCTGAATACTAAGCCAGTACTTGTACATACTAAGTACTCAACAAATGTTTGGGAAACAATTTTTCTTTTACACATCTGGTGTGGCCTTATAGACCTCAACTGCAAATTTTCATCCTTTACTGAATACCTTCTAAGTTTATGAGAGAGAAACTAAGAAAAAGGACAGAAAAAAAGTTTGGTAATGCCCAAAACTGGACCACATTCAAGAATCAAATGTCTTATGCTATGATGAATGGGGTTGGGTCAAGAGATTATCACCACCAACATGGAGATTTATTTGCCTTCTTTTTGTATTTCCCTCCTTTATTAAAGGACCTTGTGGATTATTTACGGGTTCACTCACATAGTGCTGTTTATGCTACATCCATGAGTCCCCCAATAGCAGAGCAAATCATCAGATCGATGAAATTCATCATGGGACTGGATGGGACCTCACAAGGTAAGAGGGCCTGCAGTGAGCTCAGCTCCCATAAAATCCTTCCCTAGACCACTCCCTGTGTTATTTTGCCCCATCAAGTTCCCTCTTTTAAAATATATACCTTTAAGTTAATGTAACCGAATTTGTAAATCAAGATGTGTATACATAAACAGTACCTATACAAATCATACTTAGTACATAAATGTTCCAAAACTGCTGTCAGCACACAAAAAAGAGATGTTTTTTCTTAAAGCAAAGAAAGCTTTCTAATTTACCTCTTAGATTGATCAGCAACTTTGGATAATTTCGTGTAATTAGTTGTGTTAAAGTGAATCAAACAATGGTATGTGTTGGCCTGTGCTTTCTCAGAGCTGTCAGTCAATTTGATATACATTTTTTATCTATCCATCTCTTTCTTTCTTTCATGAGAGAGGAAATCCACTACTGGCCATTTGGGAATATATAGACAAAACAACACACGATAACTTTCCAGCCATTTCTTTGACATTGATTGGGTCACCACAGCCAAAGTATGCTACTTTGCTCAACCCAAATGAACTTAATCTTCCTTTTGAAAAATTGTTTCATCAAAACCTCTTGAAAACCTCCTCCTCTCTTTCACATGCAGTTTATAGAGCTTCTACAACATGTTGCAGTGTAGGTAATAGTGGTAAATTAGACAGTTATTGAGTAGCAAAATATCCTGGCCTAGAACTGACCCCTGGGATAAACAATCCATGTGTCCTACCACATCTCCCAGCTGATGTAAGGTCCTATTATTTACCTTACGAGTAGTTAACCTTACAAGCCTACCACTTCAGTGGAAGTCTGGAGAAACCCATCATTTTTTTAATTCTATCAGAGCAGTAGAATATTCACATGCAAATTGTACCCATAAGCCTCCTATATAAAATAGGTTAGAACAGGGTTGGTCTGTTCTAATCTCCAAACTAATGGCCCTTGTGACCTTTCTGCTAAGCTCTAGTGATCTGCAGGTCACTAGTCTGAAAACCCCCAAAAGAGACCTTTCTTATGAAAGCAGGAAAACAGCTTGCAGAGGGCTTTTGTTTCTCTTCCATGTAAAATGCAGGGATTGATTGATCTCTAAGGTCCCTTCCAGCCTTGTCTTTTGGTTTTTATGATTCTGTGTTTTATTGAAGAGTCTGTGTGAAAAGGAAATGAAAATCCATTCTAGGGAAGCCACATGGTGTGATGGTTAAGGGCATAGGCTAAAAGCAGCTGCTTGATTTTGACACCTAGGATACTAGGTGGCCTTAGGCAAGTGACTTAACTTATCTGTTTAACCCTGAGCAAGTTACTTCTCTGTGCTTCAGTTCATCCAGCTGTAAAAGGAGAGAAATATTATTGATGAGTTAACATTTTATGAGACAAGTAAAATGTTAAAATTATGTCTGAAAACAATTATATAGTAAGCACTATATAATTGCTTGCTATGTTATTCCTGAGGTATTCAAGAAGTATTTGGGCCATTGTTTTAGGGATGCTGTAGGAAGGATTCTTATGTAGGAAGGAGGCGAGGCAAGACTACATGTACTCCAAGGTCCTGGATTAGTCAGGATAAGTTAAGTTATGCCCCATAACAAATAAACCTTGAAAATTGCAGTGGTTTAACAAAACCAAGGGTTATTTCTTATTCATATCACATCTGATACAAATCAGACAATCTCTGCACAGTTTACTTCCATGGGAGCAGTGACTCACGCTGCTGCCAGCTCAAAGTTTGGCCATCTCAGCATATGGGCTCCATTGGTGAGAGAAAGAGAGCATCAGCCTGGAAGTGACACTTACCACCTTGCTCACAATACACTGGCCAAACCTAGTCACATGGCCAGACTCAAATTTGGGGAGAGTATTAAACTGAATATGATATGGATAAGCAGATTTTTTTCTCAATCTTTTAAAACTAAAGCTAGAAATAGAGCTGTTTCCATTCCCATGTGAGCTGCCATGTGTAAAAATCTGGCCTAGCACCACTGGTTTCTCTTGAAACCATTTAATCATCTTCTTGAACTTCATGCATTTCCTAATGGAAAACAATATTTGAGATGTAAGCTAAAGAATAAGTAAAGCGAATTGTCTTACAATGACCTGAATTATCCTTAGGTCTTATTTTAAAGATGAATAACTTTAAAAAAAAAGTGATTCTGAAAATTAGCCTATTTCTTAAGCCCTTTTGTGTGTATGTTGTCAGAATCAGATAATTTACATGTACCCAACTTAACAATCATTTTCTTCTTTCCTCTGGATTGCTTTACTACTTCACCTGAGAGAGAACTCATTCTGTGTATTTGATCACAGTTGAAGGTCTGCAGAAAAATTGCACTCAAGATATACTCACTTCGTTGATATTTGTCTCTCATCAATATTTATTCCTCTGAGGTTGAAGATATTTCCCTTGTTTTTCTGTCTTAGCCTTAAAATTAAAGACTCACTTGGTTATTACTTTTAACCTCCCAGTTAAAGTTTCTCCCTTCATTACTCTTGCCATCTTAAGAGAGAAAAGAGATAAATATATAACAGAGAAGGCTATGTGGACAGCCTGTTTCCTTAGAACCAAGATCGGAGAACCAGGGAGAAAGAGAGGACAGTTTCTTTTCAAAGGAATAAATAAAAGAAAGTAGTAGGAAAGAAAATTGACAGAATCATCAGCCCAAGTTTCAGATGGTTCTGCCTGATGCATCTTTTGAAGAATTCAAAGGCACACACTGAATGATTATGCTGGCCTCATTTACGACAATGCCTGCTTTAAATAAAATGAGCAGGACAGGTTAGGAATATTGCGTTAACTCACCCCTTTCTGCTGAGATAGACAGACTCTCCGGGTAAAGTCGCGCCACGCTCAAAGGGAAGCACTATGTCATGCCGCAGCCGCCTTACAGGATCTAAGAAAGAGGACCTGGCTCTGAGCCTTCATCCTAGGCCCACTCCGCTGCCACTGTGATTGGAGCTTTTCAAGGCTTTGTTTCGCATTGAGTTTGGGGAGCAGTTGGCCAGATCTCTTTTTTTGATGAATGTCTTCACTTTAATCTGCAATGCAAAGCCATGTGCTTCAAAGAAAGGCAAGCTACAGGAATAAGGTCAGTATTCCTTTGAAGCCAAGGTTCAAAGATGAAATAGCAGTCCCAGTGAAATGACAGTGTTTATGCACAAACAAGCACCTCACTCTGCAGCCAGGCTGCTCGTGGGGTTAATGCACACAGACTGAGGGGCTGCAGGTCTGTCGCGCATGCATTCCACATGCACCGAGGCCCTTTTCATCTCCTGTTCTGTCACTCTGTGCAGCACAATGAGCCCAAAGTGAAATTTTGGTTTCTCCATCTTAATGGATGTTGGGTGGTCCACCAGCAAAACCAATGCTGTAAGCCCCTTGAGGCCTAGAAATATGTCTTGAATTAATTTGGTGTTCTTCTGAGTGTTAAAGTCAGTGCTCAGCTTAATAAATATATCATGACTCAACTTCCAACTCGCCGGCCTACTCGCTTTCAGTGTCAGTGTTATGCTAAACAACATCAAGGGAATGTTTATCTCATAGGACTGGGAGCCCAGAATCAGTTGCACACCAGTTGTGGCCACTGAGGGGACCTATCGGTGATTGGGAACACTCAGTGAACTGGCATAACTTTTAAAGAAGTCCAGAAAGACTGCAGCTCAGTCATTTTCTTCATCTAGACAGGCATGGCACAAGCAACCATAGGAGGGTAAGCCCCAAACCACACCAGTGACTCCCTTAAAGCAAGCATTGTCAAAAATTTTCTCATTATTTATTTAATCATTGATGCATATTTTTTCAATTAATAAGTCAACATTCTCTATAAGCTCCCAATCTTGTCCGTGCCTTTCCAACCTTCTTTTTCCCAGCTCTGGGTATACTTTCACTTCCCAAATCACAAGGAGGACTAAGGGTGTGTGTTCTACAGCTAGACTGCTTAAGGCGCAGTCCTTCCTTACTATTTGCTCCATGACTGGCAAGGTGCTAACCCTCTTTAGCCTAAGCTCCTTCATTGTAAATTAGGGTTGCCAGGAGGATTCAATGATGTCATATAGATAATGAACTTAGCATGATGTTTAATACGCAGTAAACACTCAGTAAATTGCATATGCATCAGAGTCACCTGGAAGAATGGTGAAAAATTGCTGACCCTGCCTCCAGAGCCTCTGATTCAGAAATTCTTGTTGCAACTCTCATAAGCTCCTAAGTGATACTGATGCTGCTGGTCAAGGTACCACACTTTGAGAACCACTGCTGTATGATGACCTAATAATCAGTCATCCTCTCCCATCAGGCACCAGTTGATTATATATTTCTTATGGAGAGACAGACTATCATCATATCACCAGTGATCAGCACAGTGCTTGACGCATAGTAGGCCTCCAATACATATTTTCAAGTTGAATTAAAAAGAAATGTTCCAATTCCCAATTGTGCATTGCCATGATTCAGATGCTGATAAAATATCTGTTAGGGTCATCTTTTCATCAAAAGACTCTAACAGAATCTAAACACTCTGTAATGACCATCTCAGTGACTGAGCTTGCTCACTGAGATGAGCCTTATTTTTTTTAATCCTTGCCTATGTCCATGTCTAGTTTTTCTCATTATATTTATATGCTAATTATAATGCCACAGATGTCAGAAAAAGTTGCCCTTGTGTTCCCAACCATCTGAAGTGTTGGGACTACCTGATGGGGGAGAGAAAATGACTGCAAATCATAGTACAGCAGTGGTTCTCAAAGCGAGAGTTGCAGCAAGCCTTCCTGAATCAGAAACACTGAAGGTAGGTCAGAAGTCTGGTTTTACCACCCCTGAAGGTGATTCTGATACAGGCTCAAGTTTTAGAAGCATATTTCTATGTAAAGGAAAGGAAACAGGTCAGGGTGTTGCACAACAGGAAGTAAAGAGAACAGAGGATGGAATTCTGGCAAATGCAGGCAGGGGGAGATGAACTACCAGAATAGGAGGAGGAAGTACAGATGAAAATAAGAGAAAACCCAAGGGGAAA